AAAAGAAGTCAAACTTTCACTTTTTGCAGATGACATGATACTCTACATGGAAAACCCAAAAGACTCCACCAAAAAGTTGCTAGAACTGATACATGAATTCAGCAAAGTCACAGGATACAAAATCAATGTACAGGAATCTGTTGCATTTCTATACACCAATAATGAAGCAATGGAAAGAGAAATAAAAAAATTGATCCAATATACAATTGCACTGAGAACCAAAAAAATATCTAGGAATAAACCTAACTAAAGATGTAAAAGATCTTTTGCTGAAAACTACAGAAAATTTATGAAGGAAATTGAAGAAGACACAAACAAATGGAAAAACATTCCATGCTCATGGACTGGAAGAACAAACATTGTTAAAATGTCAATATTACCCAAAGGAGTCTACACATTCAATGCAATCCCAATCGAAATTGCACTGGCATTCTTCTCAAAGCTGGAGCAAACAATCCTAAAATTTGTATGGAACCACAAAAGACCCTGAATAGCCAAAGTAATGTTGAAAAAGAAAACGAAAGCTGGAGGAATCTGAATTTCAGACTTTAGCCTCTACTACAAAGCTATAATCACCAAGACAATATGGTATTGGCAAAAAAACAGACACACAGAACAATGGAATAGAATAGAGAACTTAGAACTGTACCTGCAAATGCATGGCCAGCTAATCTTTGACAAAGCAGGAAAAAGTATCCAATGGAAAAAAGACAGTTTCTTTAGCAAATGGTGCTGGGAGAACTGGACAGCAACATGCAGAAGAATGAACCTGAACCACTTTCTTACTCCATACACAAAAATAAACTCAAAATGGATAAAGGACCTGAATATGAGACGGGAAACCATCAAAACAGTAGAGAAGAAAATAAGCAACAACCTCTTTGACCTCAGCTGCAGCAATTTCTTGCTCAACACGTCTCCAAAGGCAAGGGCAATAAAAGCAAAAATGAACTATTGGGATCTCATCAACATATAAAGCTTCTGCACTGCAAAGAAAACAATCAACAAAACTAAAAGGCAGAATGGGACAGAATGGGAGAAGATATTTGCAAATGACATACTAGGATAAAAAGTTTATATCCAAAATATATAAAGAACTTAGCAAACTTAAAACCTGAAAAATAATCCAGTGAAGAAATGGGCAGAAGACATGAATAGACACTTTTCCAAGGAAGATACCTAGGTGGCCAGCAGACACATGAAAAGATGCTCAACATCGCTCATCATCAGGCAAATACAAATCAAAGTCACACTGAAATACCATCTCACACTGCTCAGACTGGCTAAAATTAACAACTCAGGAAACATCAGATGTTGGAGAGGATGTGGAGAAACAAGAACCCTCTCACACTGCTGGTGGGAATGCAAACTAGTGCAGCTGCTCTGCAAAACAGTGTGGAGGTTCCTCAAAAAATTAAAAATAGAACTACCCTACCACCCAGCAATAGCACTACTAGGTATTTATCCAAATCATACAGGAGTGCTGATGCATACAGGCACATGTACCCCAATGTTTATAGCAGTGTTTTCAACAATAGCCAAATTATGGAAAGAGCCCAAATGTTCCATCAACTAACGAATGGATAAAGAAGACGTGGTTTATATATACAATGGAATACTACCTGGCAATGAGAAGCAAAAATCCTGTCATTAGCAACAATATGGATGAAACTGGAAGGTGTTAGGCTAAGTGAAATAAGTAAATCAGAGAAAGACAGATACCATATGTTTTTACCCATGTGGAACTTGAGAAACATAACAGAAGACCATGGGGGAAGGGAAGGGGAACAATAGTTTTAAACAGAGAGGGAGGCAAACCATAAGAGACTCAAAAATACAGAGAACAATCCAAGGGCTCATGGAGGAAACGGAGGAGAGGGGAAAATGGGTGATGGACATTCAGTAGGGCACTTGTTGGGATGAGCACTGGATTTGTATATAAATGATGAATCATGAGAATCTACCCCAAAACCAAGAGCACACTGGATACACTGTATGTTAGCTAACTTGACAATAAATTATATTAAAAAAATAAAAATAAATCAATAAAAATATGGTACAAGGTCTTAAGGACCAGAAATATAGATACTTTAAGTTCATTTATCTATTTTGAGAGAGAGAAAGAGAGAGAGAGCATGAACAGACGAGGAGCAGAGAGAGAGGGAGGGAGAGAATCCCAGCTAGGCTCCTTGCTGTTTGCGCAGAGCCCAATGCAAGGCTTGAACTCACCAACCATGAAATCATGACCTGAGCCGAAATCAAGGCTCAGACACTTAACTGACTGAGGCACCCAGGGGCCCTTTAAACACCAGATATTTTGAAGCTGACACTAATGTAAGATTATGAGGCCAAGGACGCAAGCAATACATGAGTTCAGTCATATTCATGTCTATCTTGCATATTTTTGTTCTGTGATTTGTATTTTGTTATTTGTACTTCCACTAGGAATGACATACTGATGTTATTAGGGTTGTTTGCTTCTGTTACTGGTTTAATAGCATCTGTCATCTAGCAATACTCAGCAATGAGGAATTTGAATGAATCTCCTAGATTATATTGAACTTTCCATTTGTATCTTTGTTTCAAATATGTAATTGTTTTATAAAAATCTTTTTCAAAACAGGTTGATCATTAAATTCTAGTAATGTTTTAAAATTTTTACATGTTATTAACTTTCCAACCATTGTAAAGAGAGAGTAGTATTTTCTCTATGCCAAAGACCTGTATGAAGATGAATTATTTTTGCAGGTCTGTAATATGTTGAAGAAATAAGGGGCTATTAAACTTGGTTGCCCATTGGAATCGCCTGGAAAACCTTAAAACGTATTGATAGCTGAAATTCACCCCCAGATTTTTCATTAATGGGGCAGTGTGGTTTAGGCATCAAAGGTTCTAAAAGCTCCTCAGCTAATTATAATATGCACCAAGTTTGAGAAACACTGCTCTAAACCCTTAACACTCAGTGAAAGGTCTGAGACTAGCAGCATCTGCTTTACCTGGAAGTTTATCAGAAAACCAGAAGCTGGACTTTTTCCACATTACCAAGACCTCTGATTTAACCCATCCAGAATTCTTTTTCTATGAAAATAAAGGATCAGAACTCTTCTATCCTTTCTGACTCTATGGAATTCACATTCCATAATCTAAGCTAGATATTGAAAAGCATTTTTAAACTTAACTAGAATTCTTAACCCACAAAAATGAAGACCATTCCATTCTTTCTAATCTCACAGTTCTTATTCCACAAACCTAAAGAAATACAATGCTAAAGGAATTTGTTAAAACTGTGTCATAATCTCATCCTCATACCTTTCTATGAACTTTCTCAAGCCTAGAATTCTTCTGTTTCTTTTCTCTTTCTTCATTGGAACACATCATTCAAGACCCATGTAAAATCCTACCTCTTTTATGAAGCATGTCCTGAAAAATAATACAGCTTTTCTCTAAAATTCCATTGTTGATGTAATCAATCCCATAGTGTTTAGTACATTATTTCTTTCTATTATGACTTACATATTCTCTTGTTTTCCCAAGTGATGGTGTCTTAAATGAGAAATCAGGTTATGTTTCTTTTCTACCCTAACTTCATGCCTAGCCTTTGTGAGTTATATATTGCTCAAATGTATGTGGAAAATATTAAAATAAGTTTTCATCACTCTCACAAGATTACTTATTCAAAAATTATGCATTATTACCCTTTCCTCATAATGTAAACATTTTATAAGTTCCTGCACATGTGGGTAAATCACAATTGGCTGTGCCTTAAGACTTCAATTCTTTTCTTCCTGCTTCCCTGAGGCTTGCCAGCCTGATGACAAAACCACCTCAAATAGCACAGAAACCACAGAAAAAGCCTCTGCTAAACAGTGCTACAGTGTACCTACACTGTACATATTCTTTAGCTCCATGCCTGTTTTACATACCATTATGTCCCTATCATAGTGTTTGGTACACACTGGGCATATAAACGAATTATAAGCAGTGTGTCAACAAACTATGTAGGAACAGGAAATTTTGAAAATATACTGCTAAGCGCATAATAAAACTTAGAAGTATGATTTTTCTCATAGTAGCTCCTTTATATACTTTTCTCAATATGTATATGCATATTTCTTTTTAGGACACAAATAATACAGTCATTGTAGAAAACACAGATTAAGTAAAATGAAAAGAAAGATGTAATACCTGAAATTGCACAACTAAAGATAACTATTATTAACAGGTGCCTGTCTGTCCAGATCACATCTTTCTCTCTTTCTCCCTCTACATACATATATACACATATAAACATATATACTACCATTTTAAGTTATTTTCTAATGTTTATTTAGTTTTGAGAGAGAGACAGAGTGTGAGCAGGGGAGGGGTAGAGAAGGGACACAGAATCTGAAGCAGGCTCCAGGCTCTGAGCTGTCAGCACAGAGTCCTATGTGGGACTTGAACTCACCAACCCTGAGATCATGACCTGAGCCAATGCTTAACCAACTTAGCCACCCAGGTGCCTCAAACATATGTACTGTTTTAAGCAAAAATCATATTCTATCTACTGCTACATACCCTGTTTTTACTCAATTAAGTATATATCAAAGCATCATTCCAGCCAGCAAATCAATTCATAATAAAATTTGTTTATGATGATTGCATTAATGGATGTGCCAGAATTTATTTAATCAATTACCAATGTTTGGAAGATTAAGTTATTTCTACTTTCAGTAATTATAAATAATGCTATGATGAATAATCTCCATTATCAGTTATCTAAAAGTCTCCTTAAAATAAAAAATCAGGAAGTTGGTTCGCCTATTTTATGTGCATTTTTAAGGCCTGTGATAAAAAAATAAAAATTTACCAAATGGACCTTTAAAAGTTTGTTATAAATGGGCCCTCTCAGTGGGGGATGAGAATTGGCTAAAATCAACAATGTAGCTATCTATATTCTTAGAGATAATATTTAAATAGTTGCACAGAATAAATAACTGATGCAGTTGGAAAATACTCACCTTCTCTTTGAGGGTTGATTTCAGGTTGGCATGATTGAAACTCATAATATGGTATCTCATGCTTGAATACAGATGTGAGAATATCATCAAGTTCATCAATGTCTTCCTGTTTTCAAATGAAAAGAAAAATTTTCTTGGTTCAAGTATTTACACAGAAACCCATCTTAGTGCAACATAATAAAATTATTAGCTAGAGTAAATACTGGTTAATCTTTCTAATAATACTGATACCTCTTTTGAAAGAATAATACAAAACAATAGCAGTTTGCCTAAAAGTCAGTTATTAAAATAAGAGAAAAATAGATGAAATAAACAAAAGCCTTTGTGTCTGGATGAATATCTTTACTTAAATATTTACTAATTTCAAAAAAAGTATTACAGCAGGCCAATGATAACACTGAAATTTGATTCAAAAATAAACTTCTGTTACAATACATGTTACATTTTAACAAACAAAAAATAAAATGATGAGTCTGGTTCTTCAACTTAAAGGTCAGAAATGGAAGAGTCTTAGATTATTTCATTTTTGTGTGAAAGTGAGGGAGAATATTTATCTTGTCCCTCTTCACAATATAGAGTAACTATGTCTATTCTATTTCCCTAAACTGAGCATTTGGGGAATGAGCCATGTAGAATCCTACTACTGATGAAAAACCTATCACAGAGGCCACCGTTATCCTAAAATTGTGAAGCTATGGCTGGGACCAATTGGATGTGAGACATAGATAACTGCATTTGAAGAGGGGTGCCAATCAACAAGGCCATGGGGTGGAGAGAGGATTGTGAAACAAAAGTCCCTACTTAGGACTTTTTATATGATTTCCAAATAAAATTAGGCTAACTGGCAATACATAGTCATAGAAATTAAATGATTGGATTGAAAAAAAAGACATTTTATTACTCTATATCTTTACGTATCTTTATTTTTCAATAAATCTAGGTGTCTTAAATAAGAAATTGGTTCAGGCTTCTCTGGAGTTTTTAAAAGTCCTCTTTAAAAATGGGGAGAAAGGAAGAAGTCTCCTCGACTTACAGCTATGGAATGTGAAGCAAAACCAACATGAATATACTTAATGCTATGCAGTATGTGAAACGATTAGGTGTGAGTCTTTTTTTTTTTTTTTAAGAAGGAGAGATTTGACAATAAGCTTTGCCTTCAAAAATTCATAGTCATCTAATTGCATACAGGCCATGAATTGAGTTCTAGGTACTATGATAGAAAGTCTTTCTGGGTCAAGAACAGTGCAGGCAAAAGGGAGGTGGCTCAATTCCACACAGGAAGAAATTGTCAGAAAAGGCTTTATGGAGGAGATGAGCTACATTGAAATTGTCATGTATATAAAGAGCATTCTGGACTAAAGGAACAAACTGCATGTAGTCATGAAGGTATCATAAAGCATGATCTGGTTCATGATTTTAGGAATTTCCACAAGACTGCAGAAGGAGAGAGGAAGTGGACATTTAAAAAAGTGTCTTGTATATGAAATAAAGTTTGTAATTAATACTGTAAGCAACAAGGAGTTATTAGGCCTATAATACTTACCATGGAAATGTTTATACATGGATGAAATTAAGCTTATTTAAGTTCAAGGATGATTATGACTACTTATGTGGCTGGCTATTGATACTGAATGGAACCTATCCTATAAATATAGACGTGACAATTTTATACTAGTAATTAGTCTTTTCAGGAAGTCTTTGGTAAGAGTGGTGGGGCAAAACATTACTGGCAATATATTTTACACTTTCTTTCTACTTAAGCTCCAAAAGAACATGTCTTAGCTCTAGGAACTGATGAAAGGACTATGAAAATATTAAAATCATAACATTAGTTTGTAAATTTTCTTTAAAAATTGTGTAATTGGCCATGAGTTCTCCATAGGCTATTATCTAGTCAGTGATATTTCTGTAGGAGAATATGAACTTACTATTTCTTCCCCGAAGTATACAAGATTTAGTATGGAAAGACTGATGTGTCATTGAGTTAGAGTTACTATACTCATATATAAATTAGGCATAAGATAACCTCTGAGATTCCTTCCAGCTCTGAGATTGTGAGACACAGATGAGAATTCAAAAGAGCAAGCATTCCCAGTAGGAATCTGAGAAGTACCATTTCTTCCCCTGAAGCACTGTGACACTTTAATGTGAGAAATGCTATAGCTCATGCCACTGAATTTTAAAAAATGTAGTAGTGTTTTTAAAATCAGAAGAAGAAAAACATCCTCACCATGTAGACATATACTTAACTAGGAGAGAATATAGATACCTTTAATACTCCAGCTTACCATAAATAGTTGAATCACTTCTAGCTCAATTTCATATTACTAGTATTATGCCCACAAAAAAATGGTATAGGACATAAGAGAAACATGTGAAAATCACAGAAATGGCTATTAAAAGTAATCCCAAAAGAATGTCTCCTTGGAAGATACCCTAACTAGAAAAATCTGATACAAATAATTATGCTTACTTTTAAATATCAAGGACACAAATCGGCATATTTTCTAACAAACACTGGCATTGAAATTTGAAAACGCCATAAATTTTCCTCTCCTTAAAATAAATTATGCAACACAAAACATACTTAATGAAGTTGATACAATTGTTGCACAAATAAAGAGATTAAAAAAGAGTAGCTTAACATTTATTCAGGAACATTCACAACCATCCTAAGATTTTAGTTATTATGAGGAAACTGATGTGAAAATAATAGTAGAATAAAATAATAAAATCATGTCAATGCTAGTATTTGGTTATAGGAAAAATCACATATGTAAACAATATAAACATATATACATATGCATTTTTTCATACATCTATACCTATAAAGAATATTAGAAAAAGAAATCAGAAAAAAACTAAGATATGAAATAGAAAGATATTACAAAATGGTAAAAACTTTGTACATGTGAAATAAATACATGACTTTTTCCAGAATTCTTTCAGTGTCTTGTGATGAAATATGCAATTGATTAATATATTTTTAAAACAATTATTCATATACATATTTATAAATCGCAACTATCTGAATCTGAATATCTCTCTCTATATATACATATATATATAAAGTTATCCTTAATAAACAACTTTCTTATAATAAGTATTTCTTCCTAAGAAAGAAAAATATATAAATATCTGTTTTAAAAGATATTTAGAATTACAGAATTCCACATCTGAGAGGATGGAGTAGTTACACTTTCTCCTTTTCTTCTTCTTAAATACAACTAAAATGTCCACATTTCAATAGAAAATCAGTTGCTATACAAAGAAACAGAAAGAGGAGCCTGGGTGGATCAGTCAGTTGAGCCTCTGACTTCAGCTCAGGTCATGATCTCACATTCATGGGTTCAGGACTCACATGAGGTTCTGTGCTGACAGCTCAGAGCCTGGAGCCTGCTTTGGATTCTGTGTCTCCCTCTTTCTCTGCCCCTCTCCTGCTTGAACTCTGTCTCTCAAAAAATAAAATAAAATGTCAAGAACCAGGAAGATCTCTAACTGAATAAAAAGAGACAATCAATAAATGCCAATACCAATAGGAAAACGGTTTTAGAATTATCTTAAAAAGAATTTAAAACAGCCATGATAAAAATGTTTCAACAAGTAATTATGATAATTCTTGAAATAATTCTTTTAAAGCCTCAGTTGGGGTGTCTAGGTGGTTCAGGCAGTTAAGAGTCCAACTCTTGCAGGTCTCAACCTCATGGCCCTGAAATAGAGCACCACATTGGGCTTAGTAAAGAAATAGAAGATATAAACAAGAGTCAATTGGAATTTTTAGAAGTGAAAAATACAACAATCTAAAAAGCTCAGTGGATGGGCTCAACAGCAGAATGAAAAAGGCAAAGGAAAGAAACTTGGAAATAGGACAACGAAAAATACTCAGTCTCAACAACAGAAACAAAATAGAATGAAAAGAAAGAAACAAACAAACAAACAGTCAGGGGACCTATGAAATTAAAACAAAAGATTTAACATTCCTGTGATCAGAATCCCAGGAGGAGAGGATGTGGATGAAAAAGTACACAAAGAAATAATGGCTGATAATGTCCTGGATTTAGCAAGAGAAAAACCTACGGACTGAAGAAACTGAGTAAACCACAAACAGGTTAAAGTCAAAGAAGTGCATGCCAAGAAACGTAATTATATTTCTCAACATTAAAGACAAACAAAGAAAAAAATTTGAAAGAGGCTAAAGAGAAACAAAATCTTACCCTATAGGGTAAAAACAATTAGAAACACGGTAGTAGTAGTCACAAAGAAGTGGCACAATATTTGTCAAAAGTTAAAGGAAAAGAACTATTAATAAAGAATCTTATGTCCACCAAAAGCAACCTTTAAGAATGAAGTGAAAATCATGACATTCTCAAAACAAGGAAAAAAGGAAATTTATTGTCAGCAGATGTACCCTACAACAATGGATAGAAGAAGCTCTCTAAACAGTAGGAATACAATAAAAGAAAGAATCTTGGAACGTGAAGAAAGAAGAAAGAACACAATAAAAAATATATAGGTAAATAAAATAGGCTTCCACTTCAACAGCCTAAAAAAAGGATTAGAACTAACTCAAAGCAAGCAGAAAGAAGAAAATAATAAATACAACATAGCAATCAATGAAATTGAAAACATAAAAACAGAAAAAAGTCAACATAACAAAGAGATGGTTCTTTTAAAAACTTAGTAAAATTGACAAACCATTAGTAAGACTGAAGAAAAAAGAGAGAAGATATGAATGACAAATATCATGAATGAAACATGAGCTATCACTATAGGCCCTGCAGACATGAAAAGGGCTAATAAGAAAGTACTATGAACAATTTTGCACACATACATTTGACAAGTTAGATGAAATCGACAAATTCCCTGAAAAGCACAAATCAAACAGAAACCAAACACACAATCTCTATTATTTTTTACAAATACCTATGCATCTACAATTCTAAAAATTAAGTTTAGACAAAAACAAACAAATTAGGAAAAATCATGAACCAAAAAATAAATAAAAACACCACAGGAAATATTTATTTACACAAAGCTGAATTCCTTGAGATCACTATCTATTTACATAGCAGCACCATTTCAAAGTCTGGTTTGCTCCTTTTCTGA